TTGTGAGTCAATAATTATTTCACAATAAAAAGTTAAATTTTAAAAAGTAATAACTAGATCATTATAGATACCACAAAGGCACTCTCTGACCACTTGCTTCCCATTCCATTCATCACAAAGATACTTTATGTGTTTATATTCTCATCCATATTTTATATATTTGACATATAATGTATCTAAAATATGAAGTAGAATTGCTAGCAAGTTGTTTAACATTAGAATAATAGTATAATATGTGCATATCATTACTCATTATATTTTTAAGGTATGGTTATATGACATGATTTAGCTGTTCTTCATTCATTTGAGCTTTACGAGTCCATTATTTATCCACTTCCTATTGATGGTGAGATGGACGTTCTGGTATGTGTTCCTTGGGTCCACATAAGAAAGTTTCTCTACAATCTATAACTAGAAGGCAGATTTCTGAGTGGCGATTTGTATGCATCTCAACTCTACTAGGTATTGTCAAATTGTTTCCAAATTGTTACAACAATTCACACTCTTAGAACAGGTATATGAAATGTTCTCTCGTTACCCATCTTCATCACCCTTTGTTTTTTCAGACTTCCTGTATCTTGTTTGTGCTGGAGCCTGCATAAGTCTATTGTGAACAGACACACACACACACACACACACACACACACACACACACAGGTACATATACAAGCTGATCAAAATAGATAAAATTTGTAGTCCAATTAACAGAATTGTACTGATATTAATTTTAAGGGTTTTTTGGGTGGGAGGGATTGTCTTTCAGAGACAGGGACTCGCTGTGAAGTTCAGGCTGGCCTTGACCTCACTTTGTAGCCCAGGCTGGTCTCAACCTTGCAACGATCCTCCTGCCTTAACTTCCCGAGTGACTTTAACATTTTTGTCAAAATAGAAATTACTGAAGCTGGGGCTAGGGAGGTAGCTAGGTGGTCTAAGTGCCTGCCTGGCAAGCATAAGGACCCAGGTTTGATTCCCAGTATTGGGACATGAGTGGGTTGCCTCCAGAAAAATTATTAAAAGATGATATTTTGCTTTTGATTTAAATTCTCTTGATTGTTCATGAGACTAAATACCTACTTATACTTTATTCACTATTTACATTTCTCCTTTGTGATTTTTTTTCATTTATATATTTTGGAACTTGTGCATTAGCTCAGTTGTTTAAAGTGCCTGCTTGGGCAAACCCAGTCAAGCACAGGGGACCCAGCTCCACATGTGACACCAGACCCATGCTTAAGGCAGCCTGAGCCAGCCAAAAAAACCAAAAAGAATCCTCTCATTTGTGTGTTTTACCTACTCTTGCTAAGTTGTCCAGGCTGGGCTCAAACTTTATTCTCTTTCAACCTGCCAGTCCTGGCATTAGAGACATGCACCAGCACACCAACTCTTGATCTATATAATATTTTTTATTGTTTTGTAGGATTTCTTTATTTACTAGGAGTACTAATCTTGTATAAATCATATGTTATAGATGTCATCTCAAAATTACGGAAGCCTGATTTAAATTTTGTTTATGGGATTTTTGTAACAAAGACTTTTTTATTTACATCTAGCCCAATGTAAATATTTTCCTTTATGACACTAAAGCAATATTTTATCAACCAAATTCACAAAGATGTTTTCTGCTTGGTACCAGGGATTGAATTTGGGACCCTGCACTTGCCAGGCAGGAGTTTATGCCACTGAACTATCTCCATGGTTTGAAATTCTGATATTTTCCTGCTCTTATCCTCTTTGGAGTTTTTTTTATTTTTAATTTTATGTATTTGGTATAAGGTCTCACTATGCAGCTTAGACTCTTAGTGATCCTCCTGTTTCAGTCTCCCCAGCACTGTGATTACAGGCGTGTACCACCATGCCCGGTCTTGGTGGCTGGGCTGGCATGGCATGCGGTACCAGGGATCCACCCAGGGTCCTTGCGCTTGCATAGGCAGGCACTTAGACTGCTAAGCTATCATCATGGGCCCCTTTTTTTGAGTTCTGAGTTTTAAGGTGTGCTTTTTACAGTTATGTCTTTTATTGTCTTTTTGAGATAGAATTTAGCTATGCAGTTCAGGCTAGCCTTGGGCTCACTTTGTACCCCCGGCTGGTCTCAGACTCCTAGCAATCCTCCTGCCCTAGCCTGCGCAGTTCTGGTATTACATGCATTCACCGCATTCACCACCATGCCGGCATACAGTTAGGTCTTTAATCCTCCTGACGTTGATCTTTCTGTGTAGTGTAAAGTTCCAATATAATTATCTGCTTTTCTGTTTCTTGGCAATTTAATACTTTCTCTGTTGATTTGAATGCCTATTATATTTATATAAAGTTAGTTACATTCACGGATCTAGTCCCTTCCATGATCTATGTGACTATGCTGATGTATATGCTACAAAGTCAGGTTGAGAAGCTTGTCTACAACTATTTCATACAGAAAATTTGAACTATAAAGAGGTGAGAAAAGGTATGCCAATATCAAGCAAATTGAAGCTATTCTAGCAATATTAATATCACAAAATTAGAATTTAAGGTAAAAAATATAATGAATAATAGCCAGTAGTATAAAGCAAACTCATACGAAGGTGAATGTACCTATTTGTGTACAAAGGGAAATGAAAAAAGGATACAACGAAAAAATTTTCAAACCTATAAATCTTTTTTTTTTTTTTTTTTTTTGGATTTTTAGGGAAAGTTCTACAGGGTGTTCAGGGTCTCACTATGAGATCTGACTCATAGTTATTCACCTGTCTACAGCCTCACCAGAGCTGGGATTATAGGTGTGCACCACCACGCCCAGTCTCAACTGCCATCTCAGCACACCCCTGGGGGCAGGGCTGGCACCATGGAAGGAACCCCTGGTCCCTGCGCCTGCTTGCAGGTGCTTTAATCCACTGAGATATTTGGCTGGCCCTAAACCTACAAATCTACAAACAATATAATATACTGAGGCCTGAAACTAACAGATGAAGCAGACATAAAAAGTTAGTAAAAATAGAGATGTTTGGAATTTTAAAAATTAACAAACTATATCAAATAGGTTCAGAACTGCATTCAGAAGAAACACAGAATATGAATTATTTTCAAGCAAATGTGTACTACAAACAAAGGACAGTGTCGTTTGTTGGGTCAAAATGAATTTTAGTGCTAATTTTAAGACAAGCTTGGGCCAGTGAGATAACTCAGCAGGCTAAGTGCCTGCTTAGGCAAATGCAGGGACTGGGTTGGACCCCCAGCAACATATACCATGCTGGCCCCACACCCAGACCCACAGAGACCCATATGTGGTAGCACATGCCTGTAATCCCAGCACAGAGGAGGCTGAAACAGGAGGATCACTGCAAGTATCACTGCGCAGTGAGACCGTGTACCAAATAAATTGAAAAAAGAAAAGGTAGGCCCTTGTTAAGGCACTAAATTGTCCAGGCTGGGCTTGAACTTTTGATCTTTTACCTCAGTCCCTCAACATGCTGGATTGCAGGCAGCATGCTGGGATGCACTACCATGCCTGGCAGGTCGCAAACAAATTCTAAACAAATTTCAAAGCATCAATATCAGGAAAGGGCCAGGGAGATAGCTCAGTAGAATAAGCACCTGCCTGGTAAGCACAGGGTCCTGAGTCCAATCTCTGGTACCACAAAACAAAAAAAAAAATCAGGAAAATTTTATGTCCAATCAAAGTGCAAATAAACTGGGGGAAAGCAATAAAAAGATACCCATTTTTAAATTTCAAATACCTTAAAAACAATTCCTAAATAAGTACTATAGAAATTATGGCATATGAAAGAAAATAAAAATAAATCTCCCATAAATAAAAATTTGGAGAATGCAATTAAAGCTCTACTCAGAGGAACATTTATAGCTTTGACCATTTTTGTTCCATAAAAGGGAGTTTGAGATAGATGGGTTAAGTGTTCTGAATCATGAAACCAGAAAAATGAAAAGATGTTCTATAAGAAATTGAAGAAACAGGGCTGGTGAGATGGCTCAGTGGTCTAAAGCACCTACTTAGAACAAGCTTAGCAAAGCACAGGGACCGCGGTTCAATCCCCCAGCACCACATGCCAGCCAGCCCCGCCCCCTGGTGGGCTGAGCTGGCCACACACACACATAAATAAATAAATAAAATTAAATAAAAAAGAAATTGAAGAAGCAAATATTAAAGATATGAACAGAAATCAATGAAATAAAATAGGGAGGTCCTTTTGTGCTACTGTAGCAGACCTAATTGTTCACATACTTTACTGAAAATTCTGGACATAATAATTTTAAATCCACTTAAGTTATTGAATATCTGACAAAATAAAAATAAACTGTTAAATTAAAATCTAAGTGAAGGCAGGAATTCACATAAATAAAATGAAATGCTTAACTACTTTTGCCTTGAGATAGTTTCCTTTGTCTTGAATACTTGTCTCTTCCCCAAAGAATCTCAATCTCTCTCTCTCTCTCTCTCTCTCTCTCTCTCTCTCTCTCTCTCTCTCCCTCCCTCCCTCTCTCCCTCCCTCCCTCCCTTCCTCCCCCCTCCTGGTGGTACCAGGGCTTGAACTCAGGACCTTGTACTTGCCTGGCAAGCACTTATTCCACTGAGCTATCTCCCCAGTTCCCACTCTCTTTTTTTTCTACTTAGCATGTTTACCCTTTAAAAAAAAAAAAGCAGGGTCTCAGCATGCAGTTCAAGCTGGCCTTGAACTCACTATGTAACCCAAACTGTTCTCGAACTCCTGGCTCAGTCTCCCAAGTGCTGGGATTACGTAAAGGCATGCACCACCACACCCAGCTGAAAAGCTCCCTTTCAAACTTCAGATCAATTGTAACCTCTCAGGACATATAGCCTGACCCAGTTACTCTGGCATGTTTTTGCCTAGCAATGTCTATCCCATAGTAGATGCTCAACAGGCATATGTTGAATGGCAGCAGGAATAAATGAATGATGTAAGTGGTGGGAAGCCATTGGTTAAGTAGGGCAAGATTTAGAAGGAAGGCTGTGGCTGTGGGTTGAGGCACATACCCCAGAATTTCTTACCATGCCAGTAGGTTCTCATCATGTTGTGTGGTTACTTTTAGGTAAGCCCCACTGGAGTGACCAACTAATGAGTTGCAGGGCAAGGTAGGAGGTTGAGCACAGAACCAGAGCTCACCAGAAACCACATCTCTATACTGACAGGTGGCCCTTTTAGCACCAGTTGACCAGGGGTCAACATTGCAGATCACAGTCTCTTCAGGCCCTTTCATTCCCCGGAAATAGCCCTTAAAATTCACTGTGGCCCTTTTCTCTGTCCAGATTCTCCGCAGAAGCCCAACTGCCTCACTGGAGTGGATCAGCCGCACTTGTACTTCGGCCCTGCCAGCCCAAAGCAGGGGAAAGGACAAGAGATATGTGCCATTTTCCAGATCCTGGACATCCCCAGGGACCCCTGTCTTCAATTCTGAACCCAATAGTTGTGCCCGAAACAGATCTCCACCATGGGTCTTGGGTTTGCCCAGGTGGTCTCTGGCCACAAGTACAGCCTCTAAGTAGCCTCCCAGGGTGTAGTTGGCCTGGGAAGGACCCTTCAGGTGGTAGGTGGAGGTCTTGGGGCTGGTGGAGGCCAAAAGGTTTCCCCCATATCCTGGGGTTGGGGGCCAGTACAGAAGGCATGTCAAGTTGGTGAGAGTCTGCGGGAGAGAATCCAAGTGGGAGGGAGATTCCATGAAGTTGGAAGCAAATTTGGAGGCAGGACGGGGTCCTGGGAGCCGGTAGATCGAGGTATCAGGCCAAAACATCTTGAGATAGAATATCTGTGGGTAGAGAAAAAGGGATCTGTCACTGGTTTGTTCATCTCATTTTTTGTTTTCCTGGAAGCTAATCATCAAAGCTAGTCTCCTCTGCCAGGTAGGACTTAGTAGTTCTGTCTGCCTATGTCATGCTGTCTGTCACTCACAAGCCTGGCACCTGAGTCATGACCACCTTTTTTGTGAAAGATGTATCTGGTATTGTGTAAAGTAGTTGTGGCTCTCGTTCAGCCAACTGTCCTTCTCTCAGCCTTCTTACTCCTACTACCACTCCTCAACCCCCACTGACATGAACAGGCTTGGATGCACTTTCACATTTCTAGTTTCCTGATTTCTCATGAGTCTTTATCACCTCTGAACCTGGCATTCTAAGTGCCCTGTTTTTCTAACTGGTGCCTCTCTCCACAACCCACCCACACAGTTTCTCATTCAAATTTTCAGTTGACAGTGGTGAGAAATCATGATGTTTATGGGGATTTACGAGAATGCTATGAGACCATTTCTCAGTGAGCTCTCTTTCTCATTGGGGTCATCCGGAAATAAGAGAACAACCACAAAAACCACTGGAAAAACCTGAAACTGCAGAAAAGCACAGAACAGTTGTGAACTCCAAAGGATGGAGCTAGCTGATTCTTTTCTAGGAAGAGACAGTGTTTGCTGGGTCATAGAGCCTCCTCTGGGGTCCAGATCTTTTCAGTGTTATATTCTGAGACACACAAAGTCCAGAGACATGAACAGATCCAAATATGAAGAACAGTGGGGAGAAGCTAAGTTTTCTGTGACAGGGGTGGTGGTGACTGAAGGGAATCTAGATACTCACACTGACCCACCAAAGCCCTGCCATTCAGTCAAGTGCAATTCTTTTTTTTTTTTTTAAAGCAATCCTTAGCCAACTGTAGTGATGCACACCTATAATTTCAGCACTTGGGAGCCTGAGGCAAGAGGATCACTGCAAGTTTAAGGCCAGCGTGGGCTACAAAGTGAGTTCAAGACCAGCCTGAACTGCAGAGTGAAACCCTGACTCAAAAAAGCCAAAAACAAAAAAAAAAGCAATCCATTGAAATCTCTCAAATTTCAGTCTGTCAGAAAACCACTAATGTCTACCAAGTTTATACTATAATTAAGAGTATGCGCTTCAGAGCTATCAACCTCTATTCAGAAGGCTTTTAGTGCAGCCATGCCTGCGTCATAAGGCACAGGGATACCAGAATCTTCTTTCACTGTCTCGTAAGTTAGCTATTTATTTATAGATAGATGCTCTCTGTCAAATGGTAAACTCTTAGAGGTGACTGCTTTTTCTCAAGATCTAGCACAACGGGCTTTCCTGAAGCCTTCGTAGAGGGGTTAGGGATAAGACTGTGTCTCCAAGTTAAAAGCCAAGATACAGAGTGTAAAATCAACATTAAAACCCCATAACTTTTCTATACACCAATAATGAACTAGCAGAGAAAAAATCAGAAAAACTTTGAGTCCAAATGAATTTTAGGATTTTTTTTTCTAACTTTGTGAGACACGGTATTGGAATTTTGATTATGATTACATTAAATCAGTATAACAATTTTGGAAGTGTGGACACTTTCACCATATTTGTTCTTCCTACCAAAGAACAAGGGATATCTTTCCATTCTCTGATATCTTCTTTAATCTCTCTCTCTCTCTTTTTTAGAATACTGTAGTTTTCAAGGTAAAGATCTTTCATTTCCTTCTTTAGACTGATTCTTAGTATTTCTCCTTCTTTCTTAATTTCTTTCTTTCCTTTCCTTTCCTTTCCTTTCCTTTCCTTTCCTTTCCTTTCCTTTCCTTTCCTTCCTTCCTTCCTTCCTTCCTTCCTTCGTTCCTTCGTTCCTTCGTTCCTTCGTTCCTTCGTTCCTTCTTTCCTTCCTTCCTTCTTTCCTTCTGGATGTTATTGTGAAAGCTGTTTTTTCCCTAATTTCTCTCTCAGTGAGCCTGTTATTTGTGTACAGGAATGTTATTGATTCTTCAGTGTTGGCTTTGTATCCAGTTATGCTACTGAATTTGGACATTAAATCTAAAAGTCTTTTGGTGGAGTTTTGGGGTCTTCTATGGAGAGTATCATGTTACCAGCAAATAATGATAATATACCTTCTTCCTTTCCTATCATTATTCTTTTTTTTCTATTGTCTAATTGTTCTGGCTAATGTTTCCAGAATTATATTGAATATGAGTGGAGGCAGTGGACATCCTTGCCTTGTTCCTGATTTTAGAGTGAAAGGTTTCAGTTTTTGCCCATTTAGTATGACTTTGGGTGTTGTTTTGTCACAGGCAGTTTTTATCAGATTGAGGTAAAGACCCATCTATTACAACTTTCTGTAAAGTTTTATCATGAATGGGTGTTGAACTTTGTCAAATGATTTGTCTATATCTTTTGAGATAATTGCGCAGTTTTCTTCCTCGGTTTTGTTAATATAGTATATTGCATTTATTGATTTGCATATTTTGAACTATCCCTGCATTCATGGGATAAAACCTATTTGGTTGCAGTGTATAATTTTCTTGATGATTTTCTGCATTCTGTTTGTCAGTACAGTGGATCCCCAAAATTCATAAAGTTCTTAGAATACCTGTGAGTTGTAAAAAACCATGAATTTCAGGTAAGGTCAGAAAAATGCCTATAAATGCCTATTTGTTAATACTTTAAACCATGAATATGTTAGTCTCCAATTATGTGATTTTATTTAATAAAATATTATATTACTAAAGAGGTGAAGGACGTTTTGGTGGTATCTCAGGGATCTTAAAGCTTTAGGAAGAACAAAATCAAGAATACTCAAGGTAACTACACATGGTAATACGACCACCCGTTATGGTGTGAGAATGCTGGTGCATTGGCCCCAAATGGGTTACAGGGCGGAAGCCAATCATCAGTAAGAAGAACTGAATAGCCCTCTCAGATTGGCAACTTGCAAACCTTCCAGCAGAAAAACAATTATTAGTTAGGTTCTAAGAAAGGATCTGCATGGGACCGGGGAGATGGCTCAGTGGAATAAGCGCTTCTCTGGCAAGTGCAAGGGCCTGAGTTCAATCCCCGGTTCCGCCAAAAAAAAAAAAAAAAAGAAAGGATCTGCAAATAACCGAGGCCCTGAATGTAGAACTGCAACTTCACAAGGATATACTGTATCTTACTGATGATTTTT